CTTGCCACTGTCGCTTATGGCTTACTCACTGGGCGCTTTGGGTGGGGATGCTGTAAAGCGCTTTGGGACAATGTAATGTTGTGATAAAAAACTTTTTTGTTGTTTATACAAAAATTAATTTGTTGTTGTAGTAAGCGTACTAGGGGACACCTAGTCCCTCACTCATACGTTGCGTTACTGTGTATTCTTCCACCTGCGCAGTCAAACTAGTTCGCCCATGTGGTCCGTAAGTACAACGCTAATGGTGTAAGCTGAAACATTCACGTCTCAATTCTAAAAAGTTTTTAAGGGAGTGCGCGTCAATAACTCGGAACGTATGTGGAGACGTCACAACCCGAGGACCCCCTGTAGTCATTTAAACAGAAACTGTAAATATTGACCATATTGAAAACCGGGACATTCAGTGCCCTAGGAGAAACAATACATTTACCAGGACTGACCTAAAAAGGACAATCCCGGGAAAACAGACAGGTGGCAACTCCATGGGAACCAGGTGGTACCAGCCATGTCAAATTTACCTTTGCAATAAATGATTGTAGGCTTTGTTTAACATTCTTGAGGGATATTTGCTGATAAATATACTTTGAGTTTTAAAGAAAAAAAAACTGACAGGTAGATGTTTATGTTTCATTTGTAATTCAGGCAAATCAGATCTTAAAGGGCATTCAGTACTTTTGCAAGGCACTGCATATAGATCTCTAGAGGTTAACAGAAATCCATGGATAACATGGAATAGGCAGTTCTATTGTTTAGGGTTAATAGTGGTCAGCTGGGCCAATTTACTTGGTGGGCTGACCTAGTCTCTTGTTTGTGGAATATGGTTTGTGTAGGGTCTAATACTGCCTCTTTACTTTTAATTGTTTTCCCAAGTGACTCCAAGCACCCAGGGAATAACCTCATTGCAGTATTACCACTTTAGGGAGTTGTGTTATATCATACTTCAGATAACATCACAGATGAGTACACAGTGAAGTATAAAATCCTATTTAAGAGAAATATATTTAAACAGTATGATTCAGTAATTATGGGTTCAATAATTTGGTAGAAGTGAAATTTCAGCTTTTCCATAATGCTTGAGTAGATGTTATTCTTCTAATCCCCTCACTCGCATACATGCAACTTTGGTCGGTAAATCATGCTTAAGTTTTAATGTTTTGGCATCAAACAATTTTACCAATACTTACCTTCCATTAAAAGTGAAATTATGCAACACAAAATATTATCTACAAACTACCATACTATCATTAAAAATAAAGACTGCATAAGTATAAATAAATCGTGTCAGTCATGGCAATGCTTAAATAAAAACTTTTATTTTTAAAATAAATGCATTTTTTAGTCAAAACAGCAGGTCATGCACTGCTATTTCAGACATTTGAGGCAAAGATAAAAAGAGGAGACTCAAAAGCAAAGCTTGGCAACTTGTCTCCAGACCTTAGTGATGACAGCCTTCATTTTGTATATAGGTTTAGTATGAATACATACAAACTCGAGTAAGAATTCATTGTAATATAAGTGTACTTCAAAACTGGACTGCTTAGACATGCATACAGTACAATTAAATTGAGGAAAATAATGGTAAGTAGAAAGTAGTAAATTAAGCTCTTTTCAGCAGTCCTGAGAGCTTGAAATCAGTGTTAAAATTAGATTTTCTCCCCTTACTTGGAGTCTGAAACAATATTTTTAATATATGTTAAACATTCTTAAAAAGTATATAATGGTAATGACAGATGGCTTTTTCCTGGGGAAAACACAACAGAAAAAGGGCAGCAATGACAACTGTACAATTTTATAAAACTTGTGTTTTAAACATTACTTACAAAACACTTAATTTGCATTCCTTCATACCAAGGAGTAATGGACTTTGCATATTAAAGTTTTTGTGACCTATTACTAGTGCATAAAAATAACATGGAACTGAATAATACTATATAGTGTTTGAATATGAAAAAGCAAGGCAGCCAAATAAGTGGACAATCAGGGACCAGTCCTTATTCACAACACGATTCATGGTATAGCACTGAGGACACTGCACACTTTAGATACACCACAAAACTGATGAGACAAACATGATCGTTTTCTACAAACACTTTCTTTGGCCTTACCACTATATTGCCTGTGTAAGTCCAAAAGGCCTTTCAAATAAAAATTGCATATTAATCATTTTAGTGTTAAACAAAATTATAATTAAAACCAAGCATGTCCAAAACCAATACTGTGTTTTTCTTCAATAAGAGACTTCAAACAACCTAAGAAAATATATAGAAGTGCTACAAAATTACTTCATATGGATAAGAGAAAAAAAACCCCCTGTAAATCCTGAAACTGGACACCTAGTTTCCTCCACTATTAACTCCTACTGCTGTTTTTGAATGTGGTGACAGCGCAACACAGCAAACGACATTTTTCACAAATATTAAGGATTTGTTTAGCAAAGGAGAAGACTGACATAACTGTGTCAAATTCTATTACTAAAATTTCACCTACTTAAAAAATTGATGCACAGATGGGCAATGAAGAAAGGCTCAAGTAAAAAACTAAATAGTTTTTTTATTAGTCATTATGCATTTCTCACCAGAGAAGCTGCTGAAATTATTTTCATATGAAAACTGACCTGTGTGTGTGCATGTGTGTGTGTGTGTGGGGAGGGGGGAGGTTCCGTAGGCTGCTCTGTGACACAGACAAAGGCGCATGTGTGATTACTACTTCATAAGGCATGTGGGGAAAATTACTGAGCAAAATCCCAGCATTAATACAAATATAAGTTAGCATCAATGCAGGAAACTTCAGGCTTAAATAGCATAGCCATGACTAAAAGAATGCATCCAAAACCCTAAGACCAACCACAACCTGTTTGGAGAATTTCAAACCCAGCCACTAGTCAGCTTGTAGAACATCTCTTCATCCAGACTCTCATTCTGGTCCTTAGCACGAGTGGAAAGGAAGATATAGCCTCCAATGAACTCATGGACCACTTTGCAGTCCACTTCTGCACAGATGAAAGCAAGGCTGGGCTCATCAGCAAATTCCACTGTGACCTGCAGATTAAGTAACGCATACATAAGATCAGCATACAAGTAGCAACATTTCATCCTATATACCAAGACATCTATATGAAACTGACATGCTTTTAGCAGCATACCATTTTAATTTCCCAGTTAACATTCCATTGCTTCATGTTACTGAACCTCCATGTTTTAATGGCATCACCAGTACTTGCATCCATACGGATCAGCCTATTATAGGTAATTCCAATGAGCTCTTCCCTTTTTCCTCCTTGAAATCTGTAATTAGTAGGTAGAAGAGGTATGTTATTTACATAAAATTGATCATTGAAAAGTTTGCAAGTTCCAGTGGTAATCGGTCATCTGAAATTTCATTTTCAAACATCATTCATTTCATTTGATTCTGTTACCATGCAAGAAACAAAAAGTGGCATATAAATAAATGTGTCTTATGCAAGACTCACTTGGCCAGGAAGTGTGTAATTCCAAACTCTGGCAGTGACTGCCAAGCTTGGATAAAGCGCATCTTGGCTTCAATGAGACTCATCTGGGCTACATTCTGGTGAGCTTCCAGGATCCGTGCAGAAATCTATTTGTTTAGGGAGGTGATGGAAGGTTAATTGTAAATAGGAATTATTTGATTTTCACAAATCCCATATTATAGGCTCCAGACCCCCACAACCCTGAATAGTGCAAGCAGTTACATTAAAAGGATAGATGGATGGATATCCCAAAATTGTCTTCTATCAGACAGACATATACAGGTGACAACAAAGCCTTGGGTCAGCTGTTTTTCTGGGTTAAGTGATCAATGCACTAGCAGTGTTACGAGTTCTCTGCCTGCCAGAGGTTTTGTTATAGTCACCTATCAGACATGGAAACAGATTCCTAACCCACAGAGGCACAGACCCCCCTGTACTTACTCAACTAAGCTAAACTAATATCTTTAGCATCTTTAGTTCAATCAAAATTACACTTCTAAATTCTTTAAATCGACTTGTCCATATAAATAAATGGACATTAATGAAAGGCATTCACCTTCTTCAGAAAGACACTAATTTGATTTTAATTTGCTGCTCAAGATAATTGCTGAAAGAACACATCAGCATACTGTCATAATAGGAGGGGCATTGGAAATAGGGGACACACTGGAAGACCCACCCCCCCGGAAAATAAATACAGTAGAACCTTGGAACTAGAATGCCTCTTAACTATTAACTCTATCAACTCAGATGTCAAATGGGTCTGTCAATTTTTTTTCAACTTGTTCCTAAACTGAAATCTTGGAACTCAACTGTTCCTGCTAAGACCTGCATGGGTCGAGACATGTGCAACTCTATTAATTCAGACCTCAAATGGGTCAGATGAGAAAAATCTAGCTGCAACTCAACTGAAAATTCCGAACACAACAAAACAAAACAGACCTGCTTAAAACTTGTACGGATCGAGACACGTCTCCCCTTCCAAACAATAACCCCTCCATCCCTCCACCTTCCACTTCCAGTATGGCATCAGCTCACCTCAATACAAGTGTAGTGTTCATAAATTGTAATTCATTTTCACGTTTATTGCTTTTATATGTGTTTTTTCATGTGCGTACACGTATCTCCCTTTTAATATCCACATTATGTTGTGTAAAACAGGACATTAATTCGATCGAAGTCCAAATATTGTTATGTATATTTATATTAAACTAAGTACAAAATGTTTAACTAGAGTTCATTACGGTACTGTAACATTACGTCAGGCAGCACTGTACAGAAATCTCTTGGTTGTCTGACAATGCTACCTAAAGCCCACCTGCTCTCTACCTACCACCTGCCCACACATTTTAAAAAACAACAGTCGGCATATCCAGCATTAAAACAAATATTTTTGATTGTAATTCTTTTAGCCCACAGCCACTAACGCGAATGGACGTTGATAAAATGGATATTAAATGAGGTATTAGTTTTATATTGATTGTTAATGCTTTTATCATTTGGTATGCAAGTAGATAGGCAATCATTTGGGAGCCTGAAACAGACTAAATTCTTTTACATAATTTCTCCTGGGGAAATTGAACTTGGACCTTGACCAAACTGCAGCTCGACCAGCCTTCTGGAACAAATTAATTTTTTGTTCCAAGGCCCCACTGTATTTAAGAGCATGTTCCATCTTTCATTATAAATCGGACAGAGCCGAAGATGAAACATACCAAAACTAGGACTGCAGTCCATCTTAGTGAAAGCAAATGTATTTTCTCTTATGGATAAAATTTTTGTTTCGGTTAAGTTTGACTGTGAAACTGTACCCTAAACAGTGTTAGTCTTATTTTAAATGATGAAATCTTTCTTATTATAAAATTATTTTAAAATCTTTCTCACATCGCATCCTGTCACGATGTAACTATCCCCACAGACACTCATACACCGGTGGCGGAGGCTGCCATGCAAGGCGCCAACTGGCTCACCAGGAGCAATTTGGGGTTCAGTGTCTTGCTCAAGGACACTTCGATGGGGTCAGGAGGAACCGGGGCTCGAACCTGCAACCCTCCAGTTGCCGAATGATAGCACTACCTCCTGCGCCACCATCGCCCTACTCATGCTGTGAAGTGAACAGTTTTGTCATTTTGGAAGATCAGACTGATATAATTTAAGGGTAACCAGGCTGCCTAGCATTTTTATGCATGAGTCTAAATACAATGGAATGTTAAATGCTTACCTCAACTTGGGAACTAGTGGCCTGTACTACAAAATGGAGTTACTGGCTTATTGGGGTAACTTGTCAGATTTAAGGAAGTCTGGGCAAAATGTAAGAGAACGAACATGAAGTCCATTTAAACTGTGGTACCTTAAATCCATCAAGTTACCCCGATAAGTCAGTAACCCCGCTTCATAGTACAGGAGCTAGGCCTGTGTGGAAACCTGTTTATGTACTTTTTAATCTGTCAATTATCTTCAATTACCTGCATCTTATACTCTGTAAAAATGGTTGCAATAGGAGATTTTCCCCAAACATTATGAACAAGCCTTCAAAGTACACCTTCCTATTACTATTAAGGCTGAAACAAAATCAGAATCAGATCTTTCAGTACACAAGTATATAGGGGTGGGCGATATGACCTAAAATTATCATCATGGTATCTTTCACTTTTTAGACAGTGATCACAGTATTACTTTAATTAAATAAAAGGGACTTTCTGACCATCACTGTTTATAAACTAAATGATTCTGAGTTTCTGGTAACTGAGTAACTTACTTCATGGTGTTTTTCAAATTAATGCCAGGTCTGGCCCCGTCTTTTGACATATTTCCTTCTCATTCTTATGCCCTTACAGCAAACATAATGGGATGAGAATTGTGGCTGACACAAATTCTATATACCATTCACTATAGGCACAGTGGGCTTTCAGACTTTTTTTTCCCTTTCATCCTGCAGCTTTCACAGACAGGACAACCCCTTTTTTGGGACACAGTTCGTTTGATTCAGTTCATCTAAAAGATGTGTTATGATTTGTTCACTTCCTGTTTCCATAAAATAGATCTGAAACTAAATAGTGCTAAGGAGTTAGCTAAATATCAACAATAAGTCATGTGAGAAAAATAATATTTGTTATTGAACTATAGTTTAAGTCTCTCAATGTTGCACCTTAGCTACCCATGTTTGTTAAGAACGCAAACCTAAAAGCTCATCAGAAAGTCAGCCAACGTGACAAAATAGGTTATATTTCATTTGACTGATATTGACAAAATATGTTGTTAGTCCTATTTAAAATGAAGTTCTGTTCTCTATTCTGAGTTCTGTCATCTGTTTATCCATTAATTTTCTTAATGTTTTAGTTTTTTTCCGTGGTATCGCTTCAGTATCGAAATATTTAAGAAAGGTATCGTATCAAAGTCATGATTTTGGTATCGTGACAACACTACCCTAAATGCATGTCCTCTATGGACTGCCACAGCATTGAGATTTAGGGAAATATTACTTAAAGTAATGACAGTAAGACTGTATTTCATACTATGATGGATAAACTTTGCTATTAATCTGTGGTTCACAAGTGTGCCAACCCACGGAGAGGGTCCATATGGATTGAGTACAGTCTGTTACACCGCTGACACATTACTGAGATATACCTAAAATTGACAAACATTTATTATTGCATCTGGGTTTGAAAATGTATTGCACCAGTGTTTTATAACACTTGTCCAAGCAAAAATTGGCAACATTTACCTTTGTGTGACTGATGAAATTGTCTGGGGGAAGGAAAATAAATAAATAAAATAATCGAGTACCTCTGTACTATGGTATCAGAACAGCATGGTCCGACATAAAAAGTCATAAGCCAAATTTTTTCACTTTTAATTTACTTCGCTAGCTAGTTTCATGAAATACATTCCCAGAGAAAATCGATTTGTTTCTCACACCCTTCCTTCCTGCAGTAAGTTTTGATAGATATATTGATCAAAGCCAGATGTCTAGCGATATACCATGTTCAAAGACTGGTAGTCACAAGAGAATTACTTCTGGAGTAATACTTCTGGTGTGGGTGGTCGGAGAGTAAATATTAGGGGTGTAAATCACAGCTTTCCTCGCGATACGATACAATATCGATTCCTTAAGCCAATAGTTCGATTTTTTGATACCTCACAAATTCCCATGATACGATACCATACGATTCGATTCAGTTCGATACTGGTGATAGTAGTCGAAATGATGAATCCTTTACATTTCAATGAATTAAAAAAGGCAAATATAATTAGCATTTTATCATATTTTATTGGGAAGTGTAAACAAAATCTAGTGTAGTCAAGTATGTCCCATAAATCAAGCAAAATAAAGTGCAATAAGGTAAAAATAAAAACTTTGGATGGATGTAGATTAACATGGTGACTAATTATTTTTTTTTCCCAATCAAGTCTTCTCCAGACAAATACAAAAGTGTAACCAAAAGTATGTTCATAACTGTCATAACCTACTCATATGACCCTCTCGTGTGCTATGCCTCTTATTAACTTCGCGTGCAATCCCGATTGTTCCCAGCTGTTTCTTATTGTTTCGTCTAGTCCTGTGTATTTAAGTCCTCATTAGAATCTGTTGCCCAGATCTGTCATTGAAGTTTTCCCCGTGTTGTGTGCTGTGCTTGCAATAAACCCCCTCCGTTTGTTGGATTTCCGTCTGCCTAACTCCGATTCCTTGTTCCCTACTCGCTCGCCCTATGCTGGGATACAACAATAACAAGTAAAATAAAGTGCAATAAAGTCAAATAAAAAATATTGCATGGACAGACATGTAGGATGAGGAAGATCAACATGACTGACTTCTGTGGTGAAACAAGTATGTCAGTATTCTTTTTTTTTTAAAATAAAAATTAAATGGTCAACGTGTTCAGTAGATTGTGTGCTATGAGCACCTGCTGTACTAAACACACGCTCTGAAGGTACGCTAGCTTGGGAGCTACTTATAAATGACATGGGTGTAAGTCAAAATGATCTACCTACTATAAAAATGCAAAACATATATTTATGTATAAAAATATTGAGTATTCTTTAATATTATTAGAGCTGGGCGATATGGGGGAAAAAAAATCACGATATTTTTTCCTGTATTGACCGATATCGATAATTATCAATATTATAGTTTCACAATGCTGTTCCATGTAATAATGTAATAATCAAAATAATAATAAAAATAACCCTTAAAAACTTTTTAAAATTCTGAGGTAGAAAAGTATCTAAACCAAACAAAAAAATGCCAAATCATGGTTAGATTTTTTTTGTCCGGCACTTGCAAAACGTCACCATATCACATGGTACAAAATGCACGCGACAGCAAGACGACTTGAGACAGACCATGCAGTACAAACTGGAACCACCTCCGTGACGACAACTTTGCCCTTATTGGCTGAAGATTTTAGTCACACACATGACGTTTGTATCCCAGGAAGTTCCAATGCGTTATCTGCTATTTCTCCCAAAAAGCACGTAAAGCAGTGAGAACTGGTTTACAGTTCATTTACCTGGTAAAATAAAGTTTAAATAAATGACATAAATGTTCTAATAGTACACGCAAGTTAGTGGTTTATTTATTGTTAGTTACTGTAATGTTGCGCTGCTTTATTTGGTTAATCGTCCAGTCTGTGAAGGCATTCAAATAAGAATTGCATTGTACTCTGTACATGACAATAAAAACTTTGAATCCTTGAAATACATGTATTTCATCTTTTTCCTGGCAGCTATCTTTTTGCACAGAGCCACTATACACAATAGTTTTATTCACTGCTAATAGTTTTAATCAGGAGTTGGTTATTGTAAAAGAAGTAATGTGCATGCAGGTGATATTTGTATAGATTTATCTACACCCTTCTGGCAGTGCTGCCATTGCAGTCAGGTCTTGCAGACTACAAGGAGTAGAAGTTGTCCGACTTGCCTGCAGTCAGTTTATACTCCACCCCTGCAGCCACCGGCAGATCGCGCTCCACGTCGCGTCAGCTGCAGACAGATCTAAACCCAAGTCGAATGCACCCATTGCTTCTTTAAGGGAGGATGGGCAAAATTACAACGTCGTCGGTGATTGGCTGTTGTGGAGTTGTCTGTCTCAGCGCATTCTCTAAAACGGAGCAAACTTGGTTGATCGAGTTTTATAGTCTGTGTGTATCATCATGATCATCCTCATTTTTTATTGATAAAAAAATCGAGATCGTTTTATTGCCTAGCACTAAATATTATTTATTATTACAATTTCCCTTTGGGATGAATACCGTTTTTTTTTAACTGAACTGGGATTTTAGTTCCTTCACCTTTCTATTTCTCAGCTCGCTTTTCGGAGGGAAGTTAATGTTGTAGTTTTTATGAATAGTCTGAAAATGCCACTCTACATTTCCCTTCTTCGGAATAGCAATGGTAGACTAACAGATGAGGCAAATGCACTTCGAATATGACATGGTGGAAAAAAAAGTCCTCCTCCCATTCCGTATGGAAGTGGTAGGTCTTTGGCTTCTTACTTGGTCCAGCTCCCCCATTAATTTTTATACCCTTTCTTAAGTTTAGCAGAAATAAACTGGAGGCTAACTAGGTGACTCTGTAGCTTGCAGCAGCTGGCGCTGTTGAACACGTCATCCATCCTCTATTTTTTATGCCATATGATCTACCCACACTAACTTTGCAATCGACCAGTAGATCGCGATCGATGTAATGGGCACCCCTGGTGTAGACCATGTATACGTCAGAGTGGATCATGAAAACAATACTGGTACAGGCGAGAAAATAAAAACGCATGTATCAATATTTATACGGTCACATCGATGCATCGGATCGTTTGCCGTTTAATCGATATATCGATGTAATGTTACACCCCTAGTAAATATATAAATGACATCTACAAACTACTGTAGGTAAGAATTTTATTTTACTTAATCTTATGATTCTCATAATCTAATATTAAACATCTTATTGGGACAAACAGATTTTTAGACACAGGCACCCAAAGGTAGTAAATTAGGTTCAAATATGATCTATACATTTGAATATATTGTATTTAGAAGGGCCCAAAAATCTGAGAACATACTAAAAATCTGGGGATTTTTTCAGGTTTAGGAATCAGCTTAGACGTACCAGAAATTCATAGTGGATCATTGGAAAGAAGCCCTATTGAACATAATGGCTTATGTAAGGAGATGAACAAAAGATATTGGTACCACAGAGTATCAAACCAACACTCAGGTATAGTGGTGGAAATATTATGCTTGTGCTTTGCCTGCTCTGCCATGGAACACTCCCAATATCTTAGATTAAGGAAACACTTTGGTAAACTATTATGAAGTAAAAGGTGTTAGGGGAAACGCTAGCTAGACACGAAGGACTTTTGAATATGCAGCTCAAGTCCAGCATAAAAATACAAAAGTCCAGCAGAAAATGCATAGAAGAGATTATGCAATGTTATTTACATTTTCCAAAACCTGTAATAATGATGATACCAAAACTTATGGATATGACATTCTGCATCAACCAATATCTGCCAAGATATCAGAAACAAAATAACTAAACACAGGGAAAACTCTTTGTCAATAGTTATGGCTACTATGCAGAGATGTCACGCATCCCCTTTTTTTTGAGGGGGCACAGACTATGTTGGGGTACGCTTTTAAAGCCCTTTGGGCATCTCCCCCACTCTCTCGGTACCTTCCGTCTACGTGACAACCACATGTTTGACACTTGCATGTTTGACACTTAGTCGGTTCGTAGTTGTTCTTCTGGAAGGCTAAAAGATAAGTAGGGGCCGCTGACGTTCTCTGTCTGTTCTGATTAGGTAACCGTGCCATGCCGGTGCGCCAGTCAGTTCTCGTTTTGATTAATTACAGCCTTATAGAATCATTCCCTCAATTTCCCCTTATAGAATTATTCCCTCAACTATAGCCTAGCCTAAACTAGATGTCAGTTCATTTTGATCTGACATGATAGACCTCTAACTTCCAAATTGTCACTATTCAATTTTCCATAAATACAGTGTAAAATCCTCAATTAATCAAGTCAATGTGCTATTTGTCTCACATCACTTTGGACAAAAGAGTCTGCTAAATATGTAATAATATAACATGTAAATCAGTTATTTAGCTTAAAAAGGTTACCCCAGAAATCAAGGTTTCAATCATGAAAGAAATATGCAAACTTTTGAGAGATAGACTGTACAGCAAGCTTAGCATCTTCAAGCCCCGTCAATACCTGTTTGTTTTTGTACTTCTTAAGGTACCGAGGAGACACCAGGCATTCTGAATTGATGTCAGCATTGATTGGCTCAGCAATGATCTGGGGATCAGGATTCATGTGCTGCATCTTTAGGAAGGACAAGATGTTTTGCACCTCGAGGTTATATGAGCTGTCTGCCATGGTCTTCCCTTTTGAAGCTAAACGACAGGCAGCCATCCAGTGGGCATACTGCTTCTCCTATAGAAAAGACAGAGATTGACAGATGTATCACATGTAAACCTACTCCAAAACAAAAAAGGTCTTACAATTTGTACTCTTGCAAAGACTTTTTTTTAGAAACCACCCACCTGCGATTCTACACTGTCCCATTGTATGAAATCTTTATCTTTGTGTCTAAAACAATGTGTCATATGTGAACAAGGTTTTGTATTACAATACCAGTAAAACACAATTAAACACTTTTTGCCAAGAAATATTGGGTGGGGTGGCATAGCTTACTTGGAAAGCAGAAACAAATTGCTCTGATTCCCAGTGGAATCAGAGCAATTAGTGAAGCTACGGGATGAGAAATATTAGAAGAAATACAATTTGTGAATCATACATAAGGAAAAAGAACCCTATGCATACAAGGCCGCGCCATTTAGGTATGGTCTGCTATTCAGCTGACACCTGGCCTGGAAGTTACATTACTGCATCTTCCGAGTTAATCTTCTACAAATAACCCCAGTCTTCAATTGTCCCCAATTCTACACTTAATCTCATGCCTTTACATACTTTTCACACTGGTTTCAGTATGCCCTTACCTGTTCTGCTGCCAGAACTTGCCAGAACAATTGAAGGCAATAAATGTAGCCTGTCCCCCAGACAATGTGTAACACTGCACATATTTTCCTGCTTTCACACGCTTTAGAGGGGTGTATCTAGGAGTACACTTACAGTGTCACATCGCAGCCAAATCTCATTCATGCCATCAGCCACAGGAATCAGTAACTTTATGTTGAACTTCTGACCAGAAATGTTGACATCTGGTGTCACTTCACAACCTGTGGAATAGAATTTTATGAAGGAGGCAAAAGTTATTAGGTACATTTATAGACTTTTCAACAAATTTGAACAAAAATTATTTTATTCAACTAATTAAGCATCTGTAGTTAGTAGAAGCCCAAAATTCTCAACCCTACCTCAGCCCTAAAAGGCTCACGTGCATAGTTCAGGTCCAGAAAGTAAAAGTCCAGACCAAGATCCAGTTAAGTACTCTGCGACTGTGACTATTTATACTCGACTCAAAATATTTTTTCTGGATTTTTACTTTATGGACCAGAACTATATACCTCTAGTTTAATTTAAACTGGTTCACAAATGTAATCTCAACAGACAGTAATTCTTTAAATATGGATAATTAAGAGAGACTATACTCTAGTGTCCAATAAAACTTAAAGATTCTTGTAACAAATTAGTACTAGAGGTGTACAGCGATCATCTGTATCCGTTAAAACAACAAAATTATCTGTCTATCTGCATTTGGATAGAAGGCTAGAAGTGGGTGTAGTTTATACTGGGAGTCCTGTTAAAATAGTTTTTTGTAACCTAGCATTCATTGGCAATGCAACTGTGGTGCCTTAAAAAAGTGTTTTATGAACCATGCCCACTGCATTCAACCTGAAACAGAAGGCAAGGCTGTGCAAGACATATAATTAATTCAAACAATGATTTTGGCAACACGCAAAACGTGAAACATGGACTACTTCTTTTACACTGTGAACCTAAATGAAATCTGCAGAACCCCTTGAAATTACCTTGACTTTTTACTTATATTAAAACTGTCATTATTTGAAGCTGATTTAAGGAACATCTATAGGTAGCCAAAAAATTACCGTTGGGAGTTTTAACATCAAATACCACCAAACTAAACAGCTTGCAATAAATCATTTAGTATACTTTATATATTTTTTGTTTTATTTTCTTTGTTAGCATTATAATTTTCTTCTCTGTAACTCTCCCCCTAGATTTGATGAAATATTCTTTCAATAAAAATATGATGAAGCTGATTAACTACCTCAGAGAACAGTTTTCATCCACACACACACACATACACATATATATAAACTCACCTAAAGGATTATTAGGAACACCTGTTCAATTTCTCATTAATGCAATTATCTAATCAACCAATCACATGGCAGTTGCTTCAATGCATTTAGGGGTGTGGTCCTGGTCAAGACAATCTCCTGAACTCCAAACTGAATGTCAGAATGTCAGTGTATGGTGGTGGTGGTGGAATGGTGTGGGGGATGTTTTCTTGGCACACTTTAGGCCCCTTAGTGCCAATTGGGCATCGTTTAAATGCCACGGCCTAGAAGTAATTGTAGCCCATCCGCCTCAAGGTTGTGCGTGTTGTGGCTTCACAAATGCTTTGCTGCATAC